TGTCCAATCCAAACGCAATAAAACGCAAGAAAAAGTCTTGAACTCCAACAGCATGACAACGACATTGATACTTAATGAATTATGTCTCTTTTTTGCTGGTTAGTGGGGATGTCTGGGGGTCCCGGTTTTCTTGACGTTTAAATTTCGGAATGAGACTTTTATGTTCATTATTTTAACACTCTTATCTTTTCTAATCCTTACTTATCGGAGGTTTAGTGTTGTTTGATTGATTAAGTTGTCAATTTTTAGTGTTCTAGCAACAAAATATACTCGGGTAGGCAAATTAATGGTACTGTAAAAACATATTAACGACTTCTATGGTGATGTGACGATTTAATATTCGTAAATGTTTTAAGTCTTATACCAATGTATTACTTAAAAATGAAAGTTTGGAAGCAATGTGCTTAAGTATTTTTTGTTAGAAAAGTCATGTGCTTAAGTAAAAATAAATATTGTGTGACAATAAATTAAAATGCAAGGCTCGTAGCTCAGCTAAGTAAAAGCATTTGCTCTTGCACCCATTCCATAGTTTACATGAACTAGTGGATTATCTTATCGTTTGTCAAAAATAAAAATAAAGAATTTTTCTCATAAAATGGCGGGCTTCTTATTTTTCCTTTTTCTTGATTTGTTTTGCGACGCTAAAAGAGAGTCTAAGGTGATTCATGTTGAATTAAGGTGATTCATGTTCGCTGGTTGCCTTAACAATGTTGTTTATTCAAACTGAAAATGTGTTGGCGAAAAAGAAAATAAAAAATCTCAAGATACTTTAGAGGTTTCGCGTAGAACGAGGGTTTGCGCAGGGCAATTTGTGTGTTGAGTTGGAGATGCTTCTGTTTTCTACGCATCTCGTATTTATAAAACTATCATCTTGATAGTCGTCGTGTTGTAAAACTGCCATCAATTCCAACGCTTCCTCTTGCATAACAATTTCATGCAAAAGGAAAGATTGTTATGCCTTATCACTTACCAGCACGGCACCACCATGTGCTAATTAATAGCATGTACCAATTATTAGCACATATCTTTATGCTGATAAGCATCTTAATTTGAAATATACCACATCTTGCATGCACGGCTAACCAACTCCAAGCACATGTGGAGTTGATTCTCTGCTGATTACGCATTTTGGCATCCCATTTAAATGCATGCATTAATCTTCTGTGTCAATCAATATCCGTTTGCCAACCAACTCCACAATATATTAAAACTCTTGATAAAACGCTCTAATCCTCCAATCCACCATGCGTCCAAACTCCAAGAGTCTCAAATCAAATTGAACTGCATTACTTGCTTTGGAAATATAATTTGCATCTCATCTATCTTTAAACAACCAGCTGGATATAGCTAATATTAGGTTTAGATAATCTAACACATATTAAGAGATAATATTATGATTAAAACCATTTATCATCCAACGGTCTAAAACTCTACTCATCTAACGGCCTCAATTACTCAAACCGATTGTGTAATTTTGGGCCCAAACAGCTTCATATTCGACTTTGACGAGAATCGAACTTAAGACATATCACTTACAAGTGAAGAGGAATACCACTATAAAAAAAAATTGGATCATTTCTCGATTTATCGAGTCATCCTTGCGCAATCTTCAACTTTTTTAAAAAGTTACTTTTACAACAAAAAGAAAACTAATAAAAAGAGTTTGAAAACTTTAAGTTTTAATTAAAATGACAAAAATGTGTTGTAAGTGAATAGTAACATAAGTGACTTTTTAGAGTAAAAATGTATTTTTCGTTAAAATGTCTTTTTAGAGTAAAAAACTACTGCAAATAATTTCAAACAATTCTCTGCAAAATGATCAAAATTACGGACAAGGATTGTCTGCCCTCCACTTTTGGTGCCCTCTCCGTGCCCTCCTGTTTGTATGGTCACGGTTAAGCTACGTCAATATTTTATATTACTATTCATTTTTGTCTTATTATATCTACAAATAATCTGTATTGATCATACCTTTTCAAGTGAAGAATCCGAAAGCTCGTGATCTCTTTCAGCAAACCCATTCTCCAGTATCTTCTTCGCAGGCATGTTTCCTGTATCAAACAAAACAGTACTTAATCGGACAGACCGCAGCTACATGATTAATTAATAATGTTCTTCATCTTATCATGTGCCTTCAGTTACCTGGAAGTTAAGAACATCAACACAGGCATTGAAATTACAGCTACCATTTTACCTCGATAAGTTGGCAACAAGAAAATGTCCTTTTCCATCCTCTCATCCACCAAAATAAAATAAAATAAAACTACTGCAAATAATTTCAGAGAATTCTCTGCAAGATGATCAAAATTACAGAAGTGGTAACCCAGATAGTCATGTTTTGGAAAACTGTAGGACCCACGTTCCTTTGACTTTAGGTGATCACTTTGCAATGCATCCTGATTCCGCAGGATTATTGAAATTTGCAGTTCACACAACCTCAAATTTCACAACAAAAATACAAAAGAAACAGAACCCAATTGCGGAAATAAACAAGAATACAAATCAAGATAAGAAATCTTCATGACCGATTTCAACTGAACATGAACCCGACCCAACAATCCAGATAAACATAAACAAAAATATCGACTTGAAAATGCAAAAGAATCGACCCGAAGGGATGAACAAAACTGTGTATATAATTCAAACCTGACAGTTATCAGACTGGAACTCCAACCCAGAGACGCAGAAGAGAGAGAGGGAGAGAGAGATGGTGAATAATGCTAACGGTTTGGTCACATAAAGGTTAAAGGCCGGCCTTTGACCGGCATGCATGTCCAATCCGAACGCAATAAAACGCAAGAAAAAATCTTGGAACTCCGACAGCATGACAACGACATTGATATTTGAGGAATTATTTCTCTTCTTTTTCGCCGGTTGGTGAGATGCGTAGGGGTCTCGGTTTTCAAATTAATGGTTTAGGGGTCCACTGTAAAAACATATTATACTGTAACGACTTCTATGGTGATGTGACAATTAATTTAATATTCGTGAATGTTTTTAATCTTGTGCCAATGTATCACTTAAAAATGAAAGTTTGGAAGCAATGTGCTTAAGTATTTTTTGTTGAAAAAGTAATGTGCTTAAGTAAAAATAAATATTGTGTGAAAATAAATTAACATGAACCAGTGGGATTACCTTATTGTTTGTCAATAAATAAAGATTTTGAAATAGTACATGGCTTCAATTTCTCATAAAACGGTGGGCTTCTTATTTTTCCTTTTTCTTGATTTGTTTTGCGACGCTAAAAGAGAGTCCAAGGTGATTCATGTCGAATTAAAGTATAGTTGTTGAGATATGGTAATCAAGAAATTATACACTCTAAACGTGAGTTAGGCTTGTTGGTCATAATATCGTATCTGTTATTTTGCATTCAGTACAAATCAATTGTAGTTTACATTATTTGCATTTAAAAAAGGATAAGTATACTTTCATTTCTATTAGGACTAGTTTGGGGTTGTTGTGTTTTTTTTTTATTTTCAAATTACTTCTATTGTGCTGTGAAATTAAATAGCAGTGAAAAAAAATCGGTAAGTTTTTGGTAAACTATAGTTCACTTGCTTTAATGAAAAAAAAAAACCATTTTTTTTAGAAGCATGTGTAGTGCTATTTCTGATTCTGCTATCATGGACCCATGATTTTGAAAGAAAAAAAAAACTTTTTTTTTACATTTACCAAACATAATTAAGGCTCCAACTTTTTTTTTTTTGGAACAAATGATATTATTACACTAAGAGAAGGAGGTAGGCTTAGCCTCACAATGAGTTAGCAATAATGTAGTTCATATCCACTTTGATAAGAATCAAATTTAAAATCTCTCATTTACAAATAAAGATGAATACCATTAAAAAAAATTTAACTATTTTTTTATTTATGCATGTCATCCTTGCCCGGCTCCAACTTTTTAAAAAAAACTACTTTTACAAAAACTTTATGCAAGTCCAAAACAGGTTCCAACTTTTTAAAATAGCTACTTTTTTTTTTTTAAAAAAAAGCTACTTTTACAAAACTTTATGCAAGTCCAAAACAGGTTCCAACTTTTTAAAACAGCTACTTTTTTTTTTTTAAAGGCTACTTTTACAAAATCTTTATGCAAATCCAAAACTGCCCTTAATTTTCGACCGTCGGATCGAATGAATTGAAGAAAATTAAAGGATAGAAATTAACAAAGGATGTGGAAGAAGTAAAGAGAAGTGTGTGGATAGCACACCCCATCAAAAAAAAAATTGCATAAGAGTAAGTACTGGTGAGATGCTTTTATAAGAAGTTGATATAAAAAAAAATTGAGCTCAAAATGATGTTTGGTAAACACTTAAAAACAACTTATTTTCATAGTTTTGGATGAAGAAAAAAAAAAACTGAAAACGTGAAGCAACAAAAATGAGCTTATTCTCACATCACAACAAAAACATTTTTTTTTCAAAGCACATCAATACCAAACCAGCCCGAAAAACATACGGATTTGGATCCTAGGGATTAAGTAACACGGACTGTTGATAAAAAATCGTGCGGTCCCAATTAAATGTTTTTTATATTTTTAAAAGTAAAGCAGCATCATTTTGCTTGAAAAATATAAAAAATGAAAAAATTGTGACTACACGATTTTTGATCAACAGTCCATATTCATTGATCCCCTAGAATCCCCAAGGAGGGGATCCGGCGAGGATCCAAATCCAAAACGTACGCCCCAAATATTGTACCACATCAAACTAAACCTTGTTTTTTACTTCCCAACAGGATCCTCTTCGAATCTTTTTGGAAAGGATCCCAATGATCCGTGAATCATGTTCATTCATCGTACATCATACGATCAGTTTTTGTCAAATACTATTTATGTTTAATTTTAAATAAAAATATTTAAGATAATTTCTAACCGCACGATGTACGATGAACGGACAAGATTGACGGATCCCCGGATCCACACAAAGAGGATCCGGATGTAAAAATTGACAAGTACTTAACCGCCACAGGACTGAAAATACTGAGAAGTAAAAACTAACTGATAGCTTCAGGCATATTCATCTTACTATATACCAGAACAAGAAAACCATCTCAAAGTTATGGGATTTACTCGGATAAAAAAGTAAAGGGTAGTTGATCCCCGGCAGTCCGTGCCACACTGGACAAACGGCTCACACACGAGGCCCGAAAATCATAATCGAATAGGCACAATGTTAATAACTCAACTCAACATCATGGACTGAGAATTTACAGAAGTGCTGATACACGTCGTTTCTTCAGAGGCAAGCAACTTACGTATCCCAACCTTCTGCTGCGTCAATTCCAGGAATATACTGGTGAGTTCAAGTTACAATGAATTCTCCGTCTGGGGCCCTTCCAAACATAAAACGTTGCAGGGACCTTTTGCTGTCTAACTCATCACTGGTACTTTCCAAATCAAATAACTCTTGCATGAATTAATGGTACGTTTGAGTACAAGTATGTGTTGACTGGTTTCGAGTTTTCAATGAATTCTTCCTTCCAGATCTAGGAAAGCTGGCAGAAATGTTTCAGAGAACATCAACAGATTTCTTCTGCAAATATGATATCAAAGATGAATTGAACTGCAAAAAGAAAAGAGAAAGAATTACCAAGGAGAGCATGAGTTGCGTACTTCAGTGTCATCCATATAACTTAAAAGAGATGACAACTACATGAAATAAACAATATCGAAAAGACACAAATTGAATAATTATTGAAGAGAAAACAGAACGAGGTAAGTAGAAGTCGGAATATTTTAATCGCATGGACCATAAAGGATAGATGATTGACCAAATATCAAATGAAACAAAAGGACAAAGGTTTCAGTTTCAATTCCACGTCAATTAACTTGTCAAAACCAGTCGTAACACAAATATTTGTACAAGAAAATGGAAGGAAAGTGGCTCAAAGCATATATATAGTTGAAAAGATTGGTCTAACCCTATCACATATTGTATCTTACCTTCCTCCTTGGGGATGTTAGGCTGATCAACCAAGAGCTGCTGGAGTGCACCCAAATCACTGTCACTGGAAAATTGATGAACAAACGTCAAGTACAAAAGCTTAGTTCTTAAAAGTAGGAAGAAATATGTTGAAATATGACCATGTTAAAAAATGGCTGACGCATCTGCAGATTACACTGAGTTCCAAAGTGTGCCAAATTTATAGTAGACTTGTAACTGTAACAATAAAAAACTCAAGTAGAATGGAGGTCCAAATAAAGTTCAGTCTACTGATCTCAGCTCCCAAATCCCCCAGCCCGGATAAAAAAGGAATGGAAACTCAGAAATTGAGAAAGTTGAACTACAAATATATAAATCAGGGTGGGATGCGAGGGGTTGGAATCTCAACATAGCTGGCTGCTGGTATTAACAGTTCATTCTCCCTCGACGTTATATGTTAAAGAAGAATAAAAGTTGCATTAAATAACATCTTCCAAACTACAACAGAATCTCTTCACATTTGGAAGGATCAAGTTCCTAAACAAATTGGAAAGGTAAAAGTATCAGTTCTGGTTAGAAGATAAGTACTTCGCACACCTGGGTTTCAAGGTCAGTTCTGACAGTGCTGAAACCAATGATGACTTCAAAAGGTACCTGATAAAGGAAGGGGAAAAGATAAAATTATTCATGATCTCAAGTCTCAACCAATATATAACCCCAAAAGAAAGTTTAATTACATTGGTGCGTGGTGTGCGACTGTGCGTGTGGGCAGGAGAGGACCAGACATTTTGCAGCAATTTAGATTAAACTTCCAATACATCCAATTACCATAAAGTCACAGAAAAATAGGAATGACATCTGGCGAAACCTCATTTGACATCTCAAAGCTAGCACACAACAATTATCATTTAAGAAACCAAAGAGTTACATACTCAGAGCAATGCATGTCCTGGAGAAGCATAAGCCCATCTAAGCAATCTGCAAGACTGGGCTTTACACCAATTCGTTGCTGCAGTTGTTTTACACTCAGCTGACCAGAAGCACCGCCTTTTACCATCTGCCTACCATCACGATGGATCTTCCCAAGAGACAGTACAATAGCATGAAACTCTTCCCTGAAAATAATAACACAAGTTTAACCATTTTCCCCCCTTTCCACCTAAAAAATGACTGGTAGCACTAGATATACGCAAATAAGCACGCTATGCTTTCAATTGGAATAATCATGGTTTAGGACTGAAATGGATGCATTCATAATAAATTTCAGTTACCGCTACAACAACAACAAAACCTTATCCCACCAAGTGGGGTCAGCTGTATGAATCCAAAAAAGCGACTGCTTTCGGTTTTGGGCCATGTCTGACTGCCGTAGTCCCGGTTACCAGTACCAGAAAGAAGATAACAGGAGGAAACTTACATGGTTTTCTTCATGGAAAGGAAGATGTTTTGCAATGATTCCATCTGCTTTGCCAGTAGTGCCTCTTCAATACCAACGACATCTTTCAAACGGCCGTAGTTCTTGGAATCTTGAAGCACCTGATCAAAAACGCAAAGTTAAGAAATGAAACCCAAGTTGTAAATTAACAAAAGGCATATCAAGAAATGGTTTTTCTTTGGGGTGGGTTTGTTTTTCGTGGCTGCGTATGGAAAAAACAAATGGATAAGAAGAGGGGGTTCGAGACCTGCAACCTCTGGATGATGGAGGAGGCGTTCCTGAACTGCGAAATCAAGCGAGACTGAAGCAGGGCCCAGCTATCCATCTCATCCTTCACCTTCCTGAACCTCTGCTGATACCTCTTCACCATCGCCTCCATCCCCATGACACCACACTCCACACAGAGTGTCAGAGACGGACTCTAACAGCGTAGCCGAAATTTTAAAATTTTGGTTTGCTTGTAGAGACGGGTCGATTTCGAGATTCCACCTCTTTCGCATGAGGCTGCGGCTGTGTTGGTGGTGAGGCGGAAATGAATTGACGATGGGTGGGTAGTAGGGTGGAACCGTGCAAGGGTGGGTGGGCGGCCCATTTACTTTTTAACTTTAAATTATTTTCTTCCTAATCATTATTAACCTTTTAAAAATAATTATGATTGAGGAAATGACCAAGGAATGTATGACATTGCAGTAAAATTTTAAATTTGTATATGAGATTGTAGTGTTTTTATTAAGGTGTGAAGTTGTAATAAAATCAAAACTTGAAAATGCAAAATGTAATTTACTCATTATAATTACTCCCACAAACGCAAACTTTTCGTCCCACTTTAAAATTTACTCATTATAATCTACCCCTTGTGAAGCTATAGGTCCCATAGCAGAAGTAGCATATTGAGGACCCGCAATAAAGTTCAAACCAAAAATTACAAAGATGGAACTTCAAATGGAAAAATGTAAAGGGGGAGCTGGAGGAGCAATACTCTCTCAAGCCATCCTGCAAAATAAGCAATTAAGCACACAGAAACACAAGCAACACATCGCCCCCGCACAGAAACCTCAGTGAAACTGGAGAGATTTCAAGGATTTTTTTTTTTTTTTTGTTAAACGATAGATTTGTTAGATTAAATATTTGATTAAGGAGCCAACAGAATTCGAACCAACGCCGTGGTACAAGAACAACACTCTTTTCCACTACTGTGATATAAGGTCACTTGCAATTTCAAGGTTTCAGTTAAAATACTTGGTATTACTATTACATTACACCACGGAACAACCGAAAACTTCAACCACTCACACGATCGATGGATTGATTAACAACAAACCAGTCTTGCAGATTTAGAGCTAACGAGTCTGTCTACAATTTGGTAGCTAATCTCATCCAACTGGAAAACAAAATCATGTTTCAACTCAACAGATTCGAATCAAAATCGAAAGGTTTTGCATATAATAATACAATTAGATCTTCATTTCAGCAAACAAGAAATGTGGATTAAGAGAGAGAGAGAGAGAGAGATCATATCATGAATTCGATCAAGCAAGCAAAAACCCATCACTAATCGGAAGAAAACTAGAAAAACAAAAAACAAACCAAGAACAAAAATCCTTATTCAAAAATTTAAACCCTTTACAATCAGTTTTTCTTTACCACAAAATTGATATTGATATTGACCAGGCGAACTCAGTTGCGGCTGCATGCTTCTATCTAGCTGTGGTTCCGTGAACTTCAACTACTGGTGAGTGAGATGATGGAAGGGGGCGCATGGGCCACCCGAGCAGCGGAGGTGAGTCCGGGGGTGATGCATCTCGACTAGGAGAGAAGAGGCTCAGTTCCACAAAGGGTACCCTAGAAGAACCCTCCTCCCTTTCCAAAGTACGAAACGAAATTGATCCACGCTTTGCTGACGCATCAGAGTTTCTACATGGGCTGATTCCAGAACTTCCCTCCATATGACTCTGGTTAGCAATAAGAGAAATGGTATCATTTTGATCATCATTAACTCTCCTACTCTCCAAGTCCTGTAAACTCCCCAGGGCTAAAGAATCCGCAACTGGGCAGTAAACAAGCATGCATATACACACCCCGGCACAACATAAAAGTGCAAGAAAAGCCAAGAAAGCAAGAGCTTCAAACTGAATGTGCTCTGGTTTAGATAAAACAGAGAAACCAAGCAAAGTAACTCTTAATGGAAGGAAACTTGAAACCGAGAATATCAATGTATAAACTCTCTTCTGTAGACCCTTGTTGATGACCAATTTCAAAATCTGCCTTCCAAGCCAAAACAAGTAGGCAGTAAGAATGATTGCAAAAATCCCAAGGAGGATGGTACTCAGCAAGGGGTAAGTGCAGAGGGCAATGTGATCAGTCTTGTTCACTGTACTTGTGAAGTAGGAAGGCAATTTATGTAAACTCTCATTCCTGTAGAGTTCGGGTCCAATTAAAATAACAAAGAGCTGAAGAGCAACCACTGGAAGGCAAAAGAAAAGAACGTAACCAGCTGTTTTCCCATTCCACGTTTGGCTTAGAATTCCAGTCTCCATTGTCTGCAAGGGCGCACGAAGTAGAAACACAAGCGTCAGGAATAGGCATGGTTCTGCAAACCCAAGGTTTGAGACAATGTAACATTTGCAAAGAGTCTCCTGCCATTTCAAGTTAAGGGCGTTCAACACTCTCCCCTCACGTCTCAACAGACTTAAACGGACAATTTCACCGAAACCCCACCAGATTGCAAACACGATGAAAGTGATTCGGATAATCCAAGGGCCACTGAAATAACCCAGCTGAATAAAACCCTGACTACGAATGCGAGAGCGAAAGTAAAACAAGTATATAATGCAGAGGAAACCAAGAAGGATCAAGAGAGCAACTAGACATATGGTCAACACACCGAGTGTATCGGCAGCAATACTCGTCAGGGGCATTACCCGAAGCACAGATTCCACGCATGCTCTCTGCCAGCATGGATACAATGATCCTCTGGTAGCGTAAACGCTTCCTTCCCAGAATTAACGAGAACTATCAAAGCAGTTTAAATAGTAATACCAGAAGATTCTCATCGCACCCATAGATATATCAATTACTGAAGTTGATGTTTCCAGGACATTCCCATGAACAACCATACAGCACCAACACTATCTGAACAATGTTGGGCTCTTAGGTTGATTATGTGACCCACACACCTGCAAAACAGATGGAAGAAAACCATGAGCACACAGGGTTTCCAGAGATTGAAGATTAAAAAATTTATGGTTACAATCAACATAACTCAGACAACTTAAACTTTAATTAAACAAGAAGCTAAAAAATACTACACCAATAAAAATTTATAACTGGCATACCTGTAAGAAAGGGTAAAAAGGTCACACAAAATAACCAACCCCATATAAGATTGTCAAAACATAATAAAGACAAGTGCATACCACTTAAAAGAGGAAACATGAAAGAATAGCTTTTACTCGAGGCAAATGATAAGTGATTACAGATTCTATGAATATGTCAGATTTTGCAAGTACCAATTTTTGCATAAAAAAATTAGAGCACGTCAAAGTGTCTGCGCACCCAAATATCTACTCTTTGTAATAGAAGAGATCTGTAGATCACATGTCCAGAGAGAAGAAGCGCGGATGGAATCTCATTGCTTGCGTAACATTCTTCCCTCAGCATTGTGAGAACTAGTTTCGAACGATTAAAGCTTATGAAAATATCAATCAAGCTACAATATCTCTCTTCTCACAAAAGAGTGTTTGCTCTAAACTGCTTATACTCTTATAATCTGACAAAAATCTTAGTATTGCATCTCATTCAAGGACACTACTGATATTCTATCGAGCTATATAGACGTGTGCAAACAAATCATAAAAAAGAAAACAAAAACGAAACCAGGAAGCCTAAGGTTGTTCATTTATTTGATATCCATTATAATAGACCCAAAAACTGGAAAATATAGTTTAAATTTATAATCTAGTTTCTTTTCATTTCCTACCATTTCTCAGCAACCAAACAGTCCATAAACATTAAACCGAATTTCAAAATAGTAAACCTTACACAAACATTATATTCCAAATCATTTCAAGAAGAAAGTACAGGAAAACAAAAGTCACAAAAATGACTAAAAAATAACTATACCCCGAAAAATTAAATGAACTATGAATAACATAAAGAGAACAGCAAGCCGCAAACATATTAGAAACCCTAAATTTAAGAAACGATGGCACAAATTAGTACGAAATAAAGCAAAAGGGGGATCAATCGAGATCTTACAGAGCCGAGAATCGTGATCTGCTGAAGCCGAGGCCTGAATTGCAGAATCGGACGAGAAGATCAGAAAACCCTAACTTGCACAGAGAGATGGAGAGAGGAGAGAGGGGAGGGTGAGAGAGAACAGAGGGACTGGAGAGAGAGAGAGAGAGCATAGTTAGGGGAATAGGTGAGTGGGACTTTGTTGGTGACAGGCTGTTTCCAGCTGTGTCGTCCGAGCCTCGTGGTTCGAAATCTGAATAGACTTGCTTCGCTTTCTTATCGAGCCTACGTGGCAATGTCGTGGCGGCGTTTACAGTGAGTTTCCTTTTTCTCCTTTTTGTTTTTTTTTTGCCGTTTATTTTTTTGTTTTATTTTTCCGTTGAGGACAATTCTTTGGGAGATTGGGCAGTAGATTCTCGAGTTTCCTCTTCTACACATTTTTGACTAAAACAGCATAACCCCTTGCAAAAATATAATTTTAATTTCTTAATATGTTAGTTGTAATAATTTGGTCAGAACATGACATTGATAATCGAAGTTAAGACTTCACATACAAGTAAAGAACAATACAACTTAAAAATAATTTTTTCTAAATACAAAGGTATATTCAATAAGAAAAAACCGCATTAATATAAAACTTCTCCAACAAACAAACAACTAATTGATACACTCGTTAAATAATAAATTTTGAAATGAGATTTGGAGGATTCTCAAAATAGTTAAACAACAAGTCACAGTGAAGAGCATAACGAGCTAACTAATGAGCATCACCATTGGCTTGGTGTCGTACATGGTAAAAGTTACTCCAATGATTGTAGAGAGTAGATACCATGCATCTTTCACAATAGGTCAAACAAAATACAAATTGACAAAAATATTCTTCAATGCTATGACTCAATCGTACGCGGAGGCGCGTAAATTTGATTCAAACAGTTATAGTCGATAAAGTAACAAATAAAAAGCACAAAATAAGTGCTTCTTTTAAAATGCACTCAAGCAACTCAAAACGAGCCTTTGAAATCTTGGCTAATAGTGATAGTGATTTTAGCATTATTTTACTATAAATAAGAGAACACAACTTGTTAACCTTTTTGAAAATTCTATCCATGTCATCATTTTAATATTTACACAAGTCTCCGACTCTCCCCTCAACCACAATTTTATTTATAAATATTTTCCTATCGAATTAAAAACCCGATTATGTTGACAAAAGAAAAGTAAACCTGATACTGAACCCGCACTTGAATTGTAAAAGGTTGGGTTGCTCTTCTTACCCGACCAACCACTTGCAAGTTTTAGTTAGGAATTTAAAGAATTTTGAAAAAAAGTTATAACCCTAT